ACCAGCCGGAGCGCCGGGGGGGAGGGCGGCGAGCCCGCTGTGGCTCCACTGGCGGCCGGAGCCCTGGGAGAAGGGCGGAGAGCCCGGCCGGGGCTCCGCTCTCCCTGGCGGCCAGAGCACCGGGAGGAGGGCAGAGAGCCCGGCCGGGGCTCCGCTCTCCCCGGCGGCCAGAGCGCCGGGGGGGAGGGCGGAGTGCCCGCCGCGGCTCTGCTCTCCGCGGCGGCGAGCCCAGCCGGGGCTCTGCTCTCCTCCGGCGGCCTATTACAAAGGTACCCGAAGACAGGTTTGAAAACAGTGCTGGCTTTATCAGACAAAAGTCTGTCCGAAAACTAAAGAGGGGTCCAAATTCCAATATTCATATCCAGAATTGGATTCATACTTTTCCAAAGTTCAGGGGTATCAGACACAGGGGATCTGGCCTAATCAAATGCAAAAAACATTCATGATAACAGAGGTCAGCCAAGCCTAAAAATGTCTTCAATATATAAAATATAGATTATTCACATTTGTGCACCAAATACCAGATGAGAAAGTCTATGTTCTGTATAAAGAATTAGTACTGGAAAAAGAAAAAACCAGTTCAAAATCTTGAAGGGAACCTCAGTGCCAAACTGGAAAGCAGACAGAGGAAGAAAAACAAATGAAAGGTATTTTGATCTCACCCAAATTCTCTTCACCTTTTGCCTGGAGAAGAGCTTATGGAACTGGATGAGCTTTGGCAGGGGACAGGACAGGACAGTGAAAGGGGAGGGAGGATGGTTTGATGTATAATGACAACAGAAAAGTAAGTACAATGACTACTTCCAAATACATTCCAGGACAACATCACAAATACCAATCTGTACAATACTAAGTAGAAGAGCTTAAAAAAATACCCCGTTGCATTTTGCCAAAGCAATGACAGCGTTCTTCATGGTGTCAGTAGGGATAACAGCAGAATTGTCTCCCTGCGAGTACTCGTTGACAGAATCCAGTCTAAGATGTACACAAGCCTCCACTTCTTTAATGCAGTGTTTCTTGCCATCTCTTCTAATGCGAAGAAGCTTAATCATGTTCTTTCCATATTCAGCATTTAAGATTTCCAGATCTTCATTCTGCAATAAGAACACATGCATTTTCTACTCAGTGGAGATCCCAGTTACAATGGAAGCCAGAGTCTGGCTTAGCTGGATCAAACACCTGTTTCTTTATCAATAAATGGTGATATTTTTATTTTTGTAGTTACCTATGATCATTAAAATAAGTAATGGTGAAGGTGTGAAATCTTGGCAGGAAGAAAGGAAACATTTTAAGAAGATACTATTATTAGTGTATTTAACATTTATATTGCAGTAGTGCCTAAAGACCTCAGCTATTGTGGGCTCTGTTGCGTTGGGCACTGTACAAACACCCCAGGTAATCTGGGGTGTGGAACAAATGTTCTGTTTGACAAAAGGAGATATAACATACCACTACAGATATTAGGCCTGATGTACCATTGTGTTACTCCTCATATATATATTGGCTGTGACTCCACTGAAATCAGGGCTAGCCTGAAATCAATGGAGTTACCCCACTATAAAAGGAGAATTACAACATTGCTGAATAAGGCCCATTATTAATTATTTCTATTTTATTTTATTTTATTTTATTTTAATACTACTACTACTATTGTGGTAGGGCCCAGGGACCCCAATCATAGAACAGGACCCCACTGTACTGGGCACTGTGCAAACACATTAAAAAAGACAGTCCCTGCTCCAAAGAGCTTACAATCTAAGTATAAGAGAAGCAAATTAATTAATTCAACAAATAGGGGAGAACAAGGAAACAATCAGACTGTGATGGAGTGTACGAACCCCACCCTGGCCTGGAAGGGGTTAAAGGACAGTACTGGGCCCAGGTAGCCCTGCCCTTCCAGCCCTGCATGCTCCAACTGGAGACAAGGTTGAAAAGGGAGCAACCCAGCTCAGAAGGGGAAGGCTGTGGAGGAAGACAGACCTACCTGGAAGGCTCCTGACAAATGTGCCAGAGAAGTCCCCCTGAGGGAACAGGGCTATATGTTCAGCCCAGTTGGGGCTGACAGATTGGTTTCTTTTTCTTTTTACCTTATCTGGGGCCAGAAGCCTAGAGAGGAAAGCAGTGGTAGGAAGTGACCCAACTAAAGTGCTGTGCTGTAACTACTCTGTGTAGATCCTGCTAGAATGAACTAAAAGGCACCTATTTCACGTTAATATATTCCTGTCTGACACATGACTACACCGAATTTTCTGAGTGGCTCTGGATTTGTTTCCCTGTAGATGAGATCACAGTCTGTCCCTCACACTGGAGAGCCAAGCCACACCATTGGCTCAGATCTGCACTAACATTTTCTGGCTTGCCCCTGAAAATTCATGAATTCAGCCAGCCAAAAGATGTAAAAATCCTTTTAAACCTCTCCCCATATTTGTAAAACAACAAAATATAAGCAGAAGCAGTAGCATTCTTGCATTATTTCAAAGCTGCTAACTCCCTGGAACCCACTTATTTCTTCTGCATGGGTTTCCTTTTACATATTAAGTTGATTCATTTTTTTTCTGGTTGGTTCATTTTTTTCTGAGGTTTCTAGTAACAGCCCAACTAAGTATTTAAAAGAATGTATTATCATTACTATTAGTTATTATTTCAAAGTGTCAACAGTGGGGTAAATACCTCACCGAAAAGGTGTAAATGACAGGCCCCCACTCCAAAGACCCTATAGACTAAGTGGTGGATCTGTCACACAAGTGAGGCTATAACATACACAAGGAAAGGAGATGGTCAGCAAAGACTGATGTTACTAACCTATGAGGATATGGTTACTCACGTTAATCATACAAACATCTACTGGTCCAAAAAATGTAGGGAAGGGTGGGAGGGATATTGTGACACTGCAGAAGTGGGTCTTAAGTATGATTTGAATGGAGCAAGGATGGCGGCTTGGTAAATGGATTTCAAAGTGTTAGTAGTAAAGAAAGATTAGTGTGAAGGTGAAAGTAACTTTCATTATAACAACCCACCCAGGACTTACTCAAAAATTATCTTTTGAGGCTAACATTTTCCACACTTGGTCCAATCAGGCCAAGGGTGATTTTTTTTTAAAACTACTCCACCTTTCAAAGTTAGCCAAACAGTTGGGGGGTGTTATCTTTAAAAAGGAAATGTAATACTTTTTTATGCATGTCTGGCTGAAAAAATTATCAAAATGCAAAATTGCATACTACACCTGTATCTAGTCCTCAGTGAAATGAGTTTGAAAAGAAGACTTCACTGTCACTTCAGCCAGCTCCCTTCTTCTTTTTTTAGAGTGGTGGTCCTGGAAGATCAGTACTTTATGACCCCCAATAGCATCACTACAGGGAGTCCCTTGGCTCATCTTAAAGTTTACTCTTTGTGCACAAAATAGTGAAGTAAAAAATTCATGTCTATTGGTCAGTTTAAGCATGCAGAGTTCTGCGAACTCTATCCCAATCTCTCTGTCGTCTTGGAATAAGAAAATACATAGAACCTGCTTTAGAAATTGCACTGGATCCTCCTTCTTCTCCACTCCTTCAGGGAGACCCCTGTTCCTTAAGTTATTTCTCCATGTAGTCCGCCTTCTCCACCAGGTCTCGCTCTCTTTTTTCCCCTAGCGTTTAATTCTATTCTACAGCAAAGCCTATGCTTTCACTCTCTCCCCATGCCTGTTTTCAGACCAGTCACTGTCTTTCCCATTTCACTGAGATCAGCTTTAATTTCATCCAGTTTGGCATCTAGGGAGGATTTTATGATATAAACTTGGAAATTAGCTCATCAAAATCTTCTTTAGTGGCAGGGATCCCTCTGTTCTGCTCCCTTCCTCCCCAAAGGGGCCTGGATCCAGCAGCCACCAACTTGGATTTCTCTAGCTCAGTCTGCTCTGCGGTTTTGCTGCCTTGTGAGTTCCTCTACTGCAAATATATCTTCAGATTGGTCTCTTTATGTGAAGAACCCATCTAAGAGTTGAGAGAGGTTTTGAGGGGATTTGTGGGGGGGGGGGGCTAGGAAGTGGTGATATCTGCTGATTGTGCCAGCTTCAACACAGAGCTAAAGACTAAAGCAGCCATTCAGCTCTGATAATTTCATTCCTTTCCTGTGTCCCCGCACGTCTCTTCTGTTAGTCTGCAACACCCACTTGTTCTATCTTTTTTATACTTAGATGATAAACTCATTGGAGCAGGGATTGTTTCCTCTGTATGCTTGTACTATATCTAGCACAATCAGGCCTCATTCTATGCATGTGCTTGGGAGTCTATTGTAATATAGATAAATAATAACAATAATGAATGAGTAGCTGACTGCAATGAAGCACTCAAAGAAAGTAGTCTAGATAACCATGTGGGCATGTATTTAGGGAAACTTGTATTTGATGGAGCTGTTTATTTCATCAGGGATATCCATGTCAATTGAACTACTGCTGACTATACAGAATACTCTAGTTTGAAGAAGATTAAACTGTGTTAACAGTCTGTAAATACACAGCATGCTACAGTTTGCTCAAGTACAAATTTGTTCTGAAAAGTAACACTGTAATAATGGCAACCTTGGATTCCATTTTTATTGATTTTATTAATGATTTCATTATCAAACATGCTCAATTTGTTGGTAAAAACATGCATCTTCTGGTGACTACATTTAGAAATTCAATCTGGGATCTGAGACTCAAGCTGGGACTTTTTCATGCATCCCCAGGCATAACAAAGGCTCTTCAGGGCGAATTAGACTCCCAGTGACATCTGTGAAACCCCTCCCCCCCATTGCTTTCTGCATATTTTTGCAGGTGTAACTGATTGAAATTTACTAAACAATTCTGTTGAAGAAGCACAAGGAGGAATAGAAGCTAGCTCCTTCTCTCCTAGCTGTGTTAGGTCTGAAGAGGTAACAGATGTAAAAAACAATAAAAATTATTTTCTGTCGCTAGACGTGACACAGAGAGCAGAACTGTTTAATAAGAGTGTCATTTTTCAGCATAGAATTGCACTGCAAACTATTCTAAATAGCAATGGATGTGCTTCAATGTGTCTAGAATACTAAGGGCCAAAGTCAGACCTAATGTAAGTGGATTTAATTTTGTTAACTTCAATAGAATTACAGCACTTATACTAGGGCTGAGTGTTGCCTAAGATTTATGTTTCCTCTGGAACAAATTTGCGTAGGGCTGCCATCCACAATGGCAATAACAGAACACTGACTCACGCTGTGGATATGTTTCTGTTTTATATATTGTTATTTCTTTTAGTACATACTTTAAAATATTTTCAGTTGAAGTTTATTTTCATGGATACAGTTCTCTCTGCGGGAGGCCCTGCTGACTCAAAGCTCTCCTATGGCACATAGCAGAAGGGGATGTTGGCTTATCCATCCCAATAGGATGATTTATAATTTCTAGTAATCCTTCATTGTTGAAGGTTTGTTCTTTACAAGTTACCAAAGTATATAAGAAAAGAGAGTCCCGGGACTGGGTTGGAGTACATGTACATGGATTCTTTGATGCAAACTTGGCAATTGAGTAAATTCCACATCAATATGACACAAAGTGCCCTGGGGCAAACATTAAACCAACTTTATGAAGCTTATAAATCCAAGGCAAGGCATATTTCATTATCATTTGTTAACATGTTTACTTAAACCTTCTAAAATATAAATTAAATGAAACCAGTGCCAGAGCCCAAATACGTTTTTATAAGCATAGTGTGACTTAATTGATAAGATTTATTTTAATAAAAGGAGGAATGCATCGATTGATCTGCACCAACACAGGTCTACAGAAGTTCATGGAGCAGAGCAGAGCAGATTGTCTGCAGGCTTGGCTAGAACAAGAAGCCCCCATGAATTTGGGTGCCTTCTGTTGTCAAGTCAAACCTTTCACACAGTTAAAATACTGCTAAGAATTAGATTGTAAGCTCTTCGGGGCAAGGACTGTCTTTTTTTGTGTTTGTACAGCACCTAGCACAGTGAGGTCCTTGCCCAGGACTGGGGCTGCTAGTCACTTAAATAATAATAAAAAATGATAAATAATATAGTACCACCAGAAAATATATTTAAAATTATTACACTATCTCTATGGGTCCTATTCTGC